ATCAGCTGGTTTTCCTTAGATTGAAAACTTTGAAACAATGTGACTGGATGATCTGGTTTATCTGGATCTATAAAGTGACCTGAGATGACATGGTGTGAATTGTAGCTATAGAAATAAACTAAACTGAAAGGTGAACGCGCTACAAACAGACCAGCAGCTTCCCCATCATCCTGATGAACATTTAATGGAAGTAATGGCGGGGAGCCGCTTTATTAGGGTAAAGAGAATAACAGATATCGGGCTCAATCCTTCATTTAATCATGTTATGAAAAACAACATTTCTTTCCAGGCCGTTTCCATGAGTTTAGCTGTGAAAAACAACAGCGATGACGTTTGTTTGTTTCTGTGCTAAAGTACTGAATCTAATCATAATGAAGTCTGTACACTAAGGCAACTTTATTTATACAGAACATTTCATGCACAAGGCAACTCAATGTTCCTCACAGAAACACCAACAATAAAACAAATCAATACAAACGTATAAAATTACATATTATATATTAAAAGTAGTTCAAATCCAATCAATCTCCATAGGCAACACTAAACAGGCATGTCTTCAACCTTGACATATTCAGGGTTGAGGCGTGTTTGACATCCTTACTGAGGCTGTTCCAGATCTTGGCTGCATTAAAATGAAACGCAGCTTCACCGTGTTTAGTGGCGAACACCAGGAGACCCCCTCCATGAGGATGGCAGGGCCCAAGGTGGTCCATAAGGCTCTAACATGTCAGACTTGTACACAAGTTGAGCCGTTTTTAAATCTATTCCCTGAGCCACAGCAAGAGACCGGAGCACTAGACTAATATGGTCGTACTTCCTGGTTCTGGTCAGGACTCCAGCAGCAGCATTTGTCTAACAGCTTGTTTGGAAAGGCCAGAGAAAAGGCTGCTACAATAGTCTAACCTGCTGGAGAAATGCATGGATTCATCTCTCCAAGTCTGCTTTAATACGGCGCTGATCTAATGGACTTAATATGGCTGTTGAATTCAGGTCTGAGTCCAGGATGAACCCTGACAGCTTCTCTAGGTTTTCGTGGTCCAAAGACAATTATCTCAGTTTTGCATCTAGACACCTATCTGTTTGATAGAATGGCAGAGAGTATCTACAGCTCCATGTTCACCCGCAGTCAGTGAAACATAGATCTGAGTATCGTCTGCATTATTGCAATAGAATTAACTGACCTAATGGAAGCATGGACAGATCGAACAAGAGGGGGCCCACAATGGGCCCCTGGGGAACCCCACAGGTCAAGCTAATTTGGTCTGAGACACAGTTTCCCAGCGCCACACAGTAAGTCTGTCCTCAAGGTAGAATCTGAAGAGCCTTTCTAGATATTCCTAGCCAGTAAGATCCCATGGCCCACAGTGTCAAACGCAGCGCTAACTAAAACTCTGACAGTGCCTGCATCTGAGTTCAGCCAGACAGGACTTCTCCAACAACTGGCAGAGTTGATACCAGAAGCTTAACGACCGCTGTATTTAGGGCCTTTGGGAAAACTCCAGTTTTCAGTGAGGTCTTAAAGCTATAGAGGAGGATCTTTTATTTCCGGGTGGATCATCTCAATCAGTGGTCCTCCTAACTGTCAATCATCCTGGTGATCTGTTTCCGTAAGGCCGTCCTATGCGCTTGTCCCGTTAGCTATCATTTTCTTTCAGGCGTAGATCTGTGGTGAGCTGCGGTTTCAGACGGTCATTGAAGCTCACCTTTCTCACCGTGGTTCTTTGAAAATGGCCGAGAGTCGGAAGATAAAGAGTTTCTATGAAGTGGATGAGGAGGAAAAGGCCTCAGAAGAGACAGATATTTCCCAGAATGCTTTGCGTGGAGAGCTCTCCTCGCAAAGCATTATGGGATTTACTGTCACAGCAGATAATAACAAAGATGGCGCAGGCACCGTGCGGTGGAGGAGGAGTTACGTGACCAACGGAGCAAAAAGCAGCGATCATCTGTCTGAACGGTCAGTGAACTGAGTTCACTATAAAGTTCACTATATAGTCCCCGCTCTATAGTGATGGAGGAATTTAGGGGTTAGAGCAGACGGATGGACACAGTGAGCTGCTATGAGAACAGCAACTTCTAAACAGAACGTGCACGAGGAGAAATGGGCTCATGCACGCTCTTGCACTTTTTTTCAAAGTGTAGAGGGCGGGTCTTTTAAAGAATTTGCGAAAATCCTCCATAATACCTTTAACTAAACGAATAAGATGTTGTGACAAACTGATCTGAAACAGATGACATTTAGTTGGAAGTTGATTGCAGCTCGTAGCTGAGCTCAGACTGGAGATAACATCACTATCTTATTTGTGAGCGGGAATAATGAATAATCTCTCGCTCCACTATTGGTGGCAGTGTTACCATATGTATTGAAGGGCTGATAGCTTTTTTAATGGCTTGAACCTTAATACTAAACAATTTGCAAACACGTCAGACTGGAGGTTTGGAGAGTCTGCAAATAGAACAGGAGAGCTACCATGACAGTTTGGTATTATTTCCTATATAAATACCTCTCTCCTGCTCGATGCAAAGTCTGGTTGAACACAAGTAACTTTTCTTTGTAAATTTCCTAATGAAGCTGAAGCTTTGGCACCGTGTTCGCTCAGCTCTCTGGCGCTCCATTTCCTGTTTCCTACGCCAATCTTCATTTCACCTGTTTATTTAAACCATTTTAACCCTAACAGGGGACATTTAGAATAGCTGACATATAACAGTTCAATAAATGATCAAGATATAAACAGGGGGAATCTCCAAATCTAATCATTTCCATGAGCTGTCACCCTGTTTTGTTGTGTTTTCCGGACCACTGCAGACGGACGGCTGGCTCTGCACGACATCGAACTAATCAGACGACGCCACACCAACACCATTCACGTTTCAAATAGTTGGACCTTTGGTAAGAAGGATGTCTAATGTGTTTCCTCTGTTATGAGTGGCATCAGACACATGCTGCGTTAAAGCAAAGACAGACTTAAGTTCTTTGGTGAACTTTTCATTTCCCACATCCATATTCAGAATAACCAAGGAGTCAGATTGTATGGCAGTGATTGAAATAAATCATCAATTAAAGAACCATTTTGTAAACATAAAGACAGCGAAGCGTTTTTCAGCTAAACATCTGAACAACAACAATAACAACAACCCTCAGATCCAAACTGGAACACAGCAAACACACGGAGGTCAGTCACCAGGAGGCGGCTGCTCCATCAGCTGCTCCACCTGTCAGCGCCGCTAGATCAAATAGCTCCTCTGTGTCCAAAGGAAACAGCATCCACATCTTTATTTAATGATTTCTGTCTGTCCTGTGATTCTGACTGAAACCATGAGGCTGAGAGGAGCTTTCTTCCCTGAGATACATTTGTTCTGTTTTCATCACTATTTACCTACAGTCAGAAAATGCAGAGAAAAAGAAGAAGAGCTTGAAAATGATGCTGCTAATAAAGGTTAGAGAACAAAGACCTGATGTGATTCAGAAACCTGTGAAAAAACCTCATATCTCCGACTCAAACCCGACAGCTTGGATTCACATGTTTTTTGTAACCGGATTTGTATTATTTTCATTTTAAACTTAATCAGACTGAACATCACAGCCTGGATTAAAGCAGAGCACCACTGGTGCAGGAACATCCTGGATCACCTTTCAATGCAGGTCATCAACACACTAATCAATTGGGAAAGTTATGTTACTCCCATTATGCATGTAAAACATTAAAAGAAAAGCTTAATTCATTAAATCACCGCAAACATATTAGTTTTAGGTATAAATAATGATCCATTGGTTATCCCTTGCTGACCGGACATTTTCTTTGAATATATTAGGGCTGAAACAATTAATCGATTATTGAAATAATCGTCAACTATTCTAGTAATCTGTCAATCGAGTATAGAGACTGTAAAACCTGCCTTTAGCTGACAGAGTGACCCACTTAGAGCAGCATTTATACCAAAATTGTAAAAAAAACAAACAAATATTTTGCATTTAAGGCCAAAATAACATTTCCGTCTGTCAATCTGCTCAATCCAGAACTCCTTAAGTGGAAAACTTTAGTTTCACTTTAATTCTTAAAGGAACCTTTGTTTATCAAATTATCAATGGATTAATGAAATAATAATCAACAGATTGATGTTGATCTGCGGCTCTAAGGAAGCGTTCACCATGGTGAGGTGAACCCTGGCCAGACTTTGAGGTGGTTGATGACTTCAGACACAAAGACTAACAAAGCTGGGTCAGAACCAGAACCACAATCAGCCAAACATCCACAAAGACAGTTGGTGAAATGATCCAATCAGCTCTGCCCACTTATCTGCACAGGCAGGCAGAAGGTGTCTGGGAACAAAAGAAAACTGAGCAGAGCCTCAGTGTACAGGGTGTACTGTGGAAAAAAAAAAAAACAGCCACCCAGCCAAGGCTTGTCAAGACAAACATCTCCACACTTTGTTTGCTTTCCCCTCTTTGGCAGCAGCTGTTAAAAATACTTCTTAGCGTAATTAGATGTGCTGCTGAGGTTCCAGCCTTTGACAGCTCGCCTCTTTAAAAGCAGGACAATTCCTGCAGAAACACAAACTGCCTTTTGTTCCTGCTGCAGCTGTGAGAACATGCAGGTCCAAGGAGCAGCTCTGGAGATCAAGCCATAAATAAAGCTTCAGTGCAGCCCAGTCAGCTAACAGGGATTAGTTCAAGGCGACAGAAAGAGGGAAAAGCTGAGCTGAGCAGCATCAGCTGATCTGCATGTTCAGCAGATTAAAACATTTAGCTGCTGGGAGTAAAATTCCTCCACATGTTGAAACAAACGCAGCGGAGCAGCAGCTGTTTGGCTGCAATCCTGGAGCCTCCTTCACACCAGACACGTTAGCCGGACCGGTCTGCGGACTCTAGACATGCAGACCCCCCCCCATAGACCGGTCAGTCTGCCCCGGCAGAGGCTCCCCCCGGAGGGAAGGTCTCCCCCCGGCAGGAAGGTCTCCCTCCGGCCGTAGCAGCAGCCATCCCCCCCCTCCCTCATTCCTACCGTCAGCTCGCTGCTGCCGCTGTCCAAGCTGCTCACGGCTCGTATGACTCCGGATCTCCATGGTAACCGAACAATTTCCCCGATGTGTCGCGGCTCGTCCCCGCTGACACAGAGGAACCGCTTCCCGACCAGCTCCAGCCGAGCCTCGGCTGCCATGGCCTCCGCTGCTCCACGGAAAACTTCCCAACAAGGACCCGCTCACAGGCGCCTCATCTACGGCATGGAAGCGGCGCCTCCCGGCGAACAGAAGGAACCAGAGGAAAGTTGGTCGCTAATAAAAAAGGAAAATCCGACCGCGGAGATTTAAACGATCAGCCGCTTCCAGCCGCTCCGAGAAAAACACCGAGAAAAACCGGAGAGCAGCGAATCCACGATGGTATCCCTCCGCCGCTCCCACAAGCATTCACACCGCAACACCACGGTATCACTCCGCACAGTCTGGAGCTATTTCTGCAGAGGAGGAGGAGGAGAGGAGAGGAGAGGAGAGGCTGCTGCTCCTCCTGCTTCATTAGGAGCAGAAACAAGAACAGCCTCTGATGGGAGCTAAAATAACACCTCCTGGAAAAAAAAAGTCAATAACTGGGTCATATCTGTTTGCAGGAAACTGGATATTTTATTAAATTTACATTTAGACATAAATTGTAATTGAAGCTTATATATTTAATTAATGGTATTAAATAAACAAAGTGTTACATATTTACCCAATTCACTGCAGGATGTGGCTTAATTGTTTTATCTTTGTTGTCTTTCATTTGGACTTTTAACCTAAACTCTCTCAGTATCAACAGTTCAAATCAAATATTTACACAGCCTAAACCCATATAAATGTCACGCTCTGTTCTATTTATATAGCACATTTAAAACAACAAAGTCCAATTTAGAGTCAAATAGACAAAACGAAATGAAAGCATTTAAACAGGTCAATGAGACATGCTGTCATTCTGATCCCTTATTGATGTGCTTTTCTTTCCCATCTGCAGAATCACACACAAGCTGCAAAATGTAAAAAGTCCAGATTTATTTATAGTATTTACCAGAGAATTAGGCCCACAGTGTGTGGATTTCCTGGGTCTGTGGTTTGGTCGTGTCTGGTAAAGGATGGAGGCGGTCATGCTCTGTATTAGTGAAGGATGAAAGTGTTAGCAGGTCACATGAGGTGCAGTGTGAATGGATATATTCTAGTGATGATAACAGAAGAATCCACAACACGGGTAGAAAAGAGGATTAAATACAACAGAAGTAAACAGAAAACTGAGGAGTGCAATCAACCAAGACACAAACAGCTGAGAATGATGACATTATCTCTCATATAAGGGTGGATACCGGATCACCTCCTGACAGGAACAAAAACCCTACAGTTCAGGTGGAAGGCTAAGAGGCTGAGGTCTCAAGCAGGCACAAAGTGAAGGATCTGTAGAGACCTCTGGAACAGGAACATTGGAGACCTCTAAAGTAAAAAAAAAAAAAATAGAGACATCTATAGTAAAACACTGAAGACCACTGGAACAGGAACAGTAGAGACTTCTGGAGCAAAAACACTGGAGACATTCAGAGTAGAAGCACAGAAACTGACAGGAATGCGGGGCGGTTTGTCGTTGAACCCCTTAGATGTAGGAAGGTTAGGAGGTTCTATAAAGTCAGAATACTGCCTAAAGGCCATCTGCATTGGAAACACTCATACAAAATATTTAATATAATACATATAAACTATTTTCCATTTGCAGTAAATTATTTACATGGGCCGATTATGTGCCATGAGACCCGAGCATGTCACAAGTATTTTCACGCACAAGCAACCTTTCTCATACTCCCAGGTTCTGTCACTCTGCGGACAATAACCACCGGAGAAAAGAGACCACCTGGATTGGCTACTTTTAGGGAATCCCGCCTCTTTAAACAATACAGCTGTCTTCCTGGTTGTGGAGCAACATTAGCAAAACAACTGTCAACATCTGGAGTTGAAAAAAATCACAATTTTGTGAAAAGCAATCAGGAAGTGGATGTGGCGGTGGCGTGGGGTGAAGAAGAGCAGCAGAGACAGTTTCAGTTAAACTGTGAGATAGAAAAAATGATGTTGACACAGGATGAAGTAAGGAATGCTTTTTAAAAGTTCTTTTAGATTATTTCTCAAAGAGCTGGCTTCTCAGTTGGCCTTTCCTAGAGCGGAGCACGGCCGGATGCCGGTGCTGCTGTCAACTTTCCATAATGAATAAAGCACCATGACTTGACGGTCAACTATAATATCCAGGTCCACCATGATGAGTTGAAATGGACAAGCAGCAGATAGAAGCCCCTCCTAATTCATGACGTGGTGAAGCAATGACAATTCCTGGATCATCTTACAAATTGGTCCCAATACTTCAAGCTAGCACCTAAATGTAGCAACGAATTTGCTGGAATCCTGTTCAGTGTGATTGTACCGAATGCGATTCCAGCAACTTTGCTGCACGCTAACTATTTGTTTATTTCACCTGGTGTTAATCTCTTGACAGTTCAACTTCTTGTCACTGACACCATAGTGAAATTCCTCCCAGCTTGCTTTACTGTGTCTTGAAATAGGAGGAGTGAGTATTCACCTTCTGGTGTTGCACCATATTCTGCGCTCCATGGATCCCAATATAGGATGGGACTCAGAATACAGTGTAACATCTGTTGTCTGGTTAACTCAGCGCTGTAGGTAATATGGAAAGCCAAGCATAGCAACAGATCTGCGCCCAGTTTGGCCAGTATCCCTGACCAGTCCAGGGGCTCCCAGTGGTACCGTCATCTGTCCAGGACCTGGTATATCAGGAGCAGAATGGATCAACAGGCTATAGCTGTTTTTTACCTAAATAAAACCTTGTGTTCACTTTGGTTGTTTATCTCATATCACAGCTACATCCACTACCTGACTGGTTAATGGGACGCAGAGAAGTTCAGATTTTCACATTGTTCCATCTTTTCTACCAAGTCTGTAGCTGATATAAGCCTAGTCCTCTCTGATGGTTCCCAAGACTACAGCTCAACCAACTGGTAATTTCTCAGAACCAAAAACCCAGTTTGAATACTGAAAAGGTTAGTGCCTTCTACTGTTGAGTCTTACCCTCCAGTATACCTCAGATATGAATACCTGAGATTTAAAGTTCTACCTCCTATCGCGTTGTTAAATGTTAGAACACTATCCACACTGCTGTGGTGAATGCAGACAGCCTTTAGCCTTTTGGACATCATTACATGCTGGACACAATGACCAGCATCACCGACCCGTGTTGCTGCATGCCTGAGAACATTTCTCAGTCAGGATTACTAACGTGTTTATAAGGAGGGGAAGGATCATCCCTCTTCGCTGATGGTTTTCCAGCCAAAGACAAACCAGGAATATCTTTCTGGTTGAAATTTGTCTTCTTGTGAATCTCTTTTAATGTGGACTCTGTTTTTGTTCCAGACAACCAGTGAACCTCAGCGCGTCTCTGATCTTCTTGGAGAAGGTCTTACCTGTGTGCAGCAGTTCTCAGTCTTCATTACCCGCCTGCCTGCCTCTCCAGCACCGCGTGTCTTTAAGTCCCAACGCTCTCTGATCTCCCTCACATTCTCCTGGATCTCTGGGCTTCAGTCTGCAATCCCTCTGAGTCAAACCCCCACAGATCCATGCTGCCACCCACTGCAAATCATCAGATGTCATCAACCATCTCCTTCCTGATCAGTCTGCTCTCTCCCCTCAGACCAACCAGAAAGCTGAGCTGACATCCTGCAGTTTTCTGCTTCCAGATTCTTGCTGGTTTTTCAATAAAAGGTTAAAACTCTCTGGTTCTCTGTGTGATTCTGCATGGGGTTCAAAAAGCTACAAACCAGCATAAAGGATACCTTTGATCAATATTTAAAATGAAGGTGACAAAGCCTAATGTGTGCAACAGCGAACGTTTTTAAGAGCCACAAACAAATCCCTCTGTGTGCTGTGCTATAACGGTAGAGTAATACGACACATTCAGGCGACGTAGCCGTCTCCTGGCCACAGGCCCCTTTCCTGTTTGGACCTTGAAGGAAACAGGAGCCAGAAAACCCCCCAAAATAAAGGTTTGATTGTTTAACATAAAAATCATTTGATTTAAAAATGTTATTTTCTGTGTTTCATATTCATCATTATTTCTGTTTTTTAAGATAATACTTTGAAGTTGTTTCTGCATGTGTGAAAGGAGTTATAAGAATTAACCAGACTGACTTTAAAAGTTAAATACTAGCAGTAAAATTCACATTTCACGACTCCTACTAATTTCTTTCTTTCAGCTGCAGGTGGACTTGCATATCTCCTTCACTGAGCTGTATTTAGAGGCTAGATGCTGGAGGTGTGTTGTGTTCATCTGTGATCATCTGATGGTGTCCCTCACAGCCTGTGTGACCAGAAAGAGGCTCCGCTGGGAATCTCCCTCTCACTGCTGCACACTGCAGCAGCTGCCTTCATGAATATCAAGCAGCTATGAAGCTACTCTCCCCTCCCTGCCATCAACCAACCAGACCTACTCCTCTCAACCTTCTCCGTGCGTGCTTGCTCATCCATATATTTCTATAAAAACCCATAAATAATCAAGCATGTCTTTATATATACAGCCCCGTATGCACATTGATTAGATATCAGCATACACAGCCTGCTCATACTAATGCATATTCAGCGCACACAAAGGCGCTCATGCAGGGTCTCCCAGATGGCGCATGTGTCTGCCAAGCGCTATGATTGGAAAACGGTGACGACTGATGTGCTTTAATGAGCAAAACAAAGGTAGCCCACTGATTAGTATTTCAGGTGTTCACTGGCTGATCTTTGTAAAACAGCCACAGATTTCTTTAAAATACCTTCTTGGCTTCGTGGGGGTCCTTTTGCGGAAAAATCTAACATGAATTATTGCTACTATTTGACTAATCTTTGCTTGGTGCAGAACCAGAGAGGCAAAGCTGACTGGCAAAGGCAAATTGAGAATAGGTTCCTCAGAACCATCTAAAACACGTTTAAGGTGGTAACGACATAGTTCAGACCTTTCTGGACTTTTTGGTCCTGTTATAGTTTCCTTTTTTTAGTTTTTAATTATTCTTTGATTTATGTCATTCTGTGTTTTCTAGCTAATTGGTTTCATTTCCATTTTGTGTCATTCTACTTGTTTTCTGGTTCTATTTGAGTTCTTATGTATTTCTTGTTTACTCTCTACTGCCCCCTTGTGCCAGGCTCCTTTCTTCTTGTTCCCTTCGAGATCCTTCTGTCCACACCTGCCCCCAATTACGTAGTTGATTACTCCTTTTGTTTGCCATATATACTCCTATTTGGTGGATTCTCATCATTCCTTCGGTTTATTCCCTCCCTAGTTTGTGTGAGTTTTTGAGTTTCATGTCGATCTGTTCTGGATTATGGCTTCTATAATTTTACCTCTTCATTAAATTTAGCA